GATAACATGCATAGTATAGTCAATTAGACTGGTGTGAAGTGTATTTATGCTGAGTAAGTGTATTGTATAAGCTGTAGTGATGTATAGTGATTGAATGTGTAGAATAAAATAAAATAATAAAAATAAATAAGTAAATATATAATAAGTGCTGGTGAGACTGTGGTGAAAGGGAACTCTCCTACACAGTTGATGGGAATGAAAATTAATACAACCACTGGGAAAAATGATATACATATTCCCCAGAAACCTGCAACTAGAATTATCATACAACCCAGTACTTCCATTCTTAGGTATTTTCCCAAAGGATAGAAATTCCTCAGTTTGAAAATCACTTGCACATCCATGCTTATCACAGAATCATTCATAATTGCTAGGACATGAGATTCCGCCCAAATGTCCAAAAATAGATGAATGGATAGAAAAAATGTGGTAGATGTACTCTATGGAATACTACTCATCTATAAAAAGCAATTAACCCTGACATTTGATACACAGTGGACGAATATGACTTAATGTTGAACAAAGAAGCCACAGTATGAAAGGCAGACTCTGGACATCTTACTCAATATGCACTGAATGTCTGTGCTATATAGCAGAAACTGAAAGTTTGAAAGGTATAGTAGTAGGGAGTGCAACTGTTGATTCTAGAGATAGTAAAGATAGGGGTAATATGAAGGTGAGTAATAAAAGGAGGGGTGGAGGGAAAGGGGAAAATATGTTTATTTGACACAAAAATGAACACTTATCTGCTGATGATAATGTATATGATAATGTCTTTGTTTTGACTGATATGCACTGCATTCATCCTAGAAAAGCAATGTTGTAAAGATATATAGCAATTAAATGTAAACTTAAAATTAACAAATTAAAAGAAATAAAAGATAGAAATTTATTTCTCACTTGCTCAAAGCCAGAAGTTCAAAAGCAGCGTGGCAGCATGGTTGGAGTCTGGTGAGGTCCATCTTCCAAGTTGTTGTATGCCAACTTCTCAATGTATTTTCATATGAAGGAAAGATAGCTAGCTAGCTGTCTGGCCTCTGCATATAGGGATGCTAGTTCGATTCATGAGGGCTCCGCCCTCATGACCTAATTAACTCCCAAAGATCCAACTTCAAATATTGTCACATTCAGATTAGGGTTTCAACATATGAATTTTGGAGGGACACTGTCAGTCCATTGCACCTGGGATATCTGGGAGACAAAAAAGCTGATTTCAGAGTGATCAAATATGAGAAGGACTCAATTGCTTATTTCTGGTTTTGAAATTGAATGGCCAATTACAAGCTAAGAAATATAGTAGCAACTAGAAACTGGAAAAAAGAATAAGTCATATCCTCCTGTAAAGTCTCCAGAAAGGACCATAGCCTTGTCAACACCTTAAGTAGTATGTGAGACTTGTGTCTGACTTCCAACCTATAGAATTGTAAAATAATACATATATATGTATAGATAGATAGATGGATACTAAAATTGTATTAAAAAATGCGGCACATTCAACTCCATCCCTGAACAATACATGCAAACATCTACAGCAGAGACAATAACAAAGTGTACATAATTATCAAATGGAGTATCTTTGATCATCTTAACATTCAAGTGTTTCAAACCGAGGCTTTACTATCTAAGTAATATTTAACATAGGTACACTCATTTTTTTGTTTGTTTTTTGGAGATAAGGTAAAAATATTTTTATTTACATTTAGTCACTACATCTTTGGAGAATATGGAATGGTTTTTCCTAATGTGAAAACAAGCATATTCATCAAATTATAGATATTACCATGCATATTATCAACAATAGTTAACTTTTCATTTTTGTATCTGTTAAATTATTTTTTTCTGATTCCCTCCTTCCAACCCCCTATTACCTACCTCTCCAATACTGTCTCTAGTATCCTCAGTTGCCCTCCTTGCTATTATATCATCTGATCTTTTAGTTTCTGCCTTACAGTGCAGACATTCAGTACATGTTATGAGACACACAATGCTTCTCGTTCATAGTCTAGCTTGCTTCAATTAGTATTAAATCTTCCATATTTATTCACTTTGTATCAAATTCAGGGTTTTATTATTCTTTATTGCTGAGTAGTATTCCACAGTGTACATGTACCACATTTTCTCATGCCTTAGCCATTGGAAGTAATGGTGTGATAAACATGGATATGCAAGTATTTTTATGACTGTTTTCCTATCCTTTGAGTAGATACCTAAGAGTGGAATTACTGGGTTGTATGGTAGTTCTATTTGTAGACTTTTGAGGAACCTCCATATTGTTCTCCACAGTGGCTGTACTAATTTACATTATCACCAACATTGTAAGAGGATTTCCTTTTCATCACAGCCTTGCCAGCATTTATTTCTGTTTTGTTTTAATCTTAGCCATTCCAACTGGGATAAAGTGGTATATCATTGTGGTTTTGATTTGCATTTCCCTTACAATAATAGATGTTGAGCAGTTTTACGTAGGCTGTTTGTGTATTTCTTGAAGGGTTGTCTGTTCAGCTCATTTGCCCATTTCAAAATTGGATAGTTTATTTTTTTGTGGGTTCTTTGTATATTCTGGTTATCAGTCCTCATCTGAGACATAGTTTACAAATATATTCTCCTATTCTTGGGGCTGTATTTTCACTCTAATTATTGTTTATTTTGCTGTACAAAAGCTTTTGGCATACCATAGGGTACGTATGATCACTGTAGAGAGAGGCAGAAAGAGTGAGAAATTACTCCCTGGGGTTATTGCCATCTACAATGCCTTCTCCTCCTGTGACTTTGGGCAAGCGTGCACACAAGTCCAGCGTGATTCTCAAGCCTCCAGGTCAGGGACCCTAACCAAGGTTGGCTATGTGGAAATCCAGCACATTAACCACCATGCCTTCAGATGGCTCTATCATTTATCTCTTTTGGTTATTATTGCCTGTGCTTTGGGGATTTTATTTGCCTACTTTGATGTCTCCAAGAGTTTCCCCTGTATTTTCCACCTGTAGTTTTATAGTTTATGGTTTTTGTTTAGATCTTTTATCCAGTTTGAAGTGAATTTTGTTCGTGGTAGCATATAGGTGTCCAGTTTCATTTTTTTGGTACTTGAATACACAGTTTCCTGAAGATATTTTTTTTCCCCAATGGATTGACTTGTACTCTTTGCCAGAAATTAATTGGCTTTATGTTTTGGGGTTTATTTCTGGATTCTCTATTACTTTCCATTGGTCTATTTGCCTATTTTTGTACAAGTACTGTGCTGTTCTGATTATCACAACTTTGTAATATATTTTGAGGTCAGAAAGTAAGATACCTCCTAGTTTATTCTTCTTGTACAGTAGTTCCTTTCTGATACAGGGTCTTTTATAATTTTACATAAATTTTATTATTGCCTTTTATATTTCCATGAGGAGTAGCTATGGTAATTTGAAATTGCACTAGATATGTAGATTATTTAGGGTATGATTGATATTTTGATTATATTCATTTTTCCAATCCAGGAACATAGGATGTATTTGTACTTTTGTGTGTCATTTTTAATTTCCTTTTTTAGTTTTTCATAGTTTTCCTTGTAGAGATAAATGAGTTAATTTTCTTTGATTTTGCCTTGATTAATTCATTGTTGTTGTATAAAAATGCTATAGGCTTTTGTGTGTTGATTTTGGATCTTGCTATTTTACTGTATTCATTTATTACTTCCAGGAGTTTCTTGGTGAATTATTTTGGGTTTCCTATGCATACAATCATGCCTTCTTCAAGTATTGATCATTTCTCTTCTTTTCCTATTTGAATACTTTTTATTTTGCTTTCATATCTGATTGCATTGGCTAGACCCTCCAGTAATATGTTGAAAAGGAGTGGAGAAAGCACACAACCATGCCTTGTTTTCATTTGATGGTGTCAGGTATGGATTTTTTAATATGTTGTTTTATTGTATTGAGAAATGTTTCTTCTATATCAATTTTGCTGAAGGTCTTAATTATAAAGGGATTTTGTATTTTAACAAATGCTTTTTTTGGATAAAGATGTTCACTTTTTAAAAATATTAATTTATTTATAGTGTAGATAAGAATATAAATGTTTTTCTTCTGCAACTGGTAGTCTGTGGTGCTGGGATCATTCTTCTATTTCTGGGACTGACACATCCTACTGCACAAGCTGTAGGCCTTCAAACTCCATCCATGTGTGAGAGAATGGCACCCCCTGAGCCATACAGATACTACTTCAGTTCAGGAAGGAGAAATCTAATTCCAAAGATTTCCATTCTGTTACAAGCAGAGATTAATAAAAATAATTTTTAAATGATCACAAAGGTAGGCTATTTTGTTCAGAAAAGAATAAAAACGTATCAGTTTATTCTTCTAGTTTAGTCTAAACAGAGGTCAAACTTCTCTGATAGTGTTCTAATGTCTATGCTCACACACTTTTTGCTAAACTAAAAATTTGAAATTTTTATTTATGAAGTAAATTATTATCTTTGAAATTAAACAATTCACAGAACAATTAAATATTTTTCACCAGACACATTCACATCTAAAAACTTCTACACATAAGATACTCATAATTTTTCCAGTTTCTGTTGAACATACAGCTTATAACTAGGTACACAACACAAATTCTAGTACAGATTGTCTAACTCTATGGGCCTAGACAAGCCATTTTAGAGCTCTGCCCTTAACCACATCAAATATGGACAATAGTGCCCTTCTTTAAACCTACTTTGTAGGTAAACAAACACAAGATTATGGGAAAACATTTTGCTGAAGTTGCTAAAGAAATATAAGGTAAAATATTTATCATATTAACTACTTTTAAATAGTAGACTAACACTTTTATAATTTAACCAAAATAAAAATTGAACACTTTCAGGACTACAAAATTCAGTGGTGACACAAGGTGAATTAAATTGGTAAAGCTAATCCTAATAATAAATACATTTATCCATTTTCTCATTTTCTTATATTAAGAAATAACAATTATAAATATAGGTAAATTTTCATTGAAATATTTATATTTATTCTAGTTTAGGAATTCTCGCTTATGTCAATGGACTGTCTTACTTCAGCCACTGCATCAGGTACTTGGATAGTCATATCATCCATTGATTTTGTCAAACAGATTTGGCAGCCCAGCTGTGATTCATCTGTTAGCCCAGACACCAGATCAAGTATGTCATTCTCATCATCAGTGACTGGTTCTAACTTCAGGATTATGTGTTTTTCAAATATAAGATGACAGGCGGAGCAAGCCAAGGTTCTCTTACATGCACCAAAATGATCAATACATACATTATTTTCAACCACAACATCTAGCAGAGTGTCACCAACTTTCTCTTTGGTTGTTAATGTGTCACCATCATGGTTTATAAAGTGGATTGTTATTTTATCTTCTGAACTGCTCTGTGCCTGTAATGACATGCTCAGCAGCTGACAGTTTCCCTCAGTGCATCCTGGTCTCCATGCTGTTATCTGGGCTCCCTAGCAGGCCACTGGCTTCAGCTCAATCCAGTTAGCAGTGGCCACCAGCAGGCCTGCAGCATAGGTGGCACACAGGCGCATATCCCTCTCCTTCCCCTGCCATTAGCCAAAGCCCACGGTCTGGTCAATCATAGGTTTTTGTTGTTGTTTTAAGAAGTTTTCAACTTAGGAAACCTGTGCTTATTGGAGAGAGACAGAGAAAGAAACAGACAGTGAGAGGGAAAGTTAAAATCACTCTCCAGGAGGGATGGGCATGCTGCAATCCCTTCTCCTCCATTCTCCTAGGATTTTGGGCACAGGCACGCACATGCCCACACACCCTACATGAATTTCAAGCCACAGGTCTGGGAGTCCAGCATCGGTTGACCACATGGGAGTCCAGTGATGTAATCTGTAGCCATCTGCTAGTCCCCCTATCACATGGTTCTTATCTTTTATTCTGTTAATGTGTTGTATTACATTTATTGTTTTGTGTATGTTGAACCACCCTGCATCCTTGGGATAAAGCCTACTTGGTTCAAGCCAGGAAACAGGTTAGGATTCTGTTCAAATAGTAGGTACATGAACCTACTAGCAGCTCAAAACAGGACAAAAATCCTTAAAACTGGAAAACAAAGCCTAGAAGAAAATCAGCAATGTGTTAGTCAAAAGTCATAAAACGTTATTTCTCCAGTTTAGTCTCATGTACTTAACCTATCTTCTGTCATGGTCTGACCTTCCCAATTAAATTCTGGGATATAATATTCAACTCCAGATGTGTCTCTATGATTAAGTTGGCCATTTTCTTAGTTTTTTAACTCTTATTTCCTTGTGTCTGTATTTAATTTTCCTGGTATAAAACTCGCATGAGAACTTCTTGGAGATCTGGTCTGGTGTTGGTAAATTCTTTTAGGTTTTGTTTATCTGAGAATATTCTTGTCTTTTCTTCCCATA